GGGGGGGGGGGGGGGGCATTGGATTTTGGCTTTTACAATATTGGAATAATAAGTTGACTGCTCTTCTCTTCTGAATCATTTGGCAGCCATTTGTTGGTGCAACTCCAAGCACACGGACTTCTTGGATGGGTTGCTGTGGATTATGCGATGTTCTGAGAGGTTCTACCCAATGATAAATGGTAAATTAAGCATTTGATATTGTTATTTTTGAATCAACTGTTATTGCCGAACTTTCCATAATTTAGTGAGTTTCTTTGGGGTCACCAAGGGATTGGTGCTGGTGGTTGTCCGGTGTATGTGGGACGAGAGGCCTGCATGTGGCCAGAACTCAAACGATTAGTCGGATGTTTTAGAAGGCTTGAATACCTTTGAGCCTGTTATAATAACTCATTCCAGATTATTAATATTACCTTCTTTTTATCTTGCTGAAACAGAGGATTCATTTAAGTGCATTTGGATGACCAAAGGCGAAGATCTGGATTGCCGAAGGATTTAGGATTATCAAGATACATTATGGTATTTTTGGATTGGAGATTCGAGTTAATTGTGTATAGTTTGGGATGATACCATCATTTGATCACGTGTGTTACTGTGAATAATATTCAGATTGTACATAGGAGCTTTAGGATTGGCAGCTCAAAGCTATTGCGAGTGTGTGGGGTTGATTTGGGGTTGTGTGTGGGTGTGGGTGTGAGTGTGTTGCGTGGGGCGGTGGGGGAAGAGTGTTTCTTTGTCCATGTTAACATTAAATGTTTTAATTTGCTTTGACTGTTATATCCCCCTCTCCTTTTGGTTTGACACTTTCTAAGACATGAAAGAGTGTATAAATAGCAGTAATTGTTTTATTGTTATGGCTCTGATAAGTCAATCTTTCCCTCACTGTCTGTAGTTTTTTTTTCTTGCATTCCTTAGCAACTCTCCTTGTATGATGGGGTTCATAATCAAGTGCAATATACTAGAGGCAAAGAACAAAGGAATGTTCCAATAGCAGTCAAAACTCAAAAGCTAGAAACCCCTAGGTTTTTACTCTTGCAGTTCCAATGTTCCTCCAAGGAGTGAATAATCCTCAGAAGGAAACTGTCAACGCTCTCGCTGTCCAAGCTATGCTTCTGGTTTGTCAGTGGGCCCGCCCACCAACTTCAAAGAATGTCACAAGGTCCAGTTAATGCTTCATTCATCTGCCGGCAGCTTAAATCTCTGTACGAAACATGACGAATCAAATACCACATGAAGTTGCCACTAAAAGAAGTATATTGTGGTGTAAACATGCTCCCAATAAGCTTTCAAAAAATTATAAGGCACTTATTCTTAGACTAACTTCCTGGATACGTCCATGAATGTATGCATTATGGCGCACACATGCATGACCTTCCGTTGACCATGTATAAGGTGGTATGAATGAGGTGTGTATTTGATGGAAAAAAAAAAAAACCAGTACTCTTTAGGTTTAAGGTTCAATTTGATGTCTCATAAGTAGGGATGGCAATAGACAGGGTAAAAATTGATATTCGTCCAAATCTGTTTCGTTTAGACCGGGGATGAGACATATGTATTGGACGATAGATGTATACGAGGATACCTGTATAAACCCGTGCGGGAATTAAAGCGGGAATGAACTGACACTTACCCCTGTCCCGTTCCCGCTCCGCTTTACCCTTTATTATTATTATTATTATTTTAGATATACATGTTGTGAATACAAATTTATATATTATTGTATGATTTTTTCTTTTGAAAATTGTTTTATTTTTGACTTTTTTTCCCCATATTTTTGGCTTGTAAAAGTGTAGATCTTTGTGTTTTTGTATTTTTTTGTGTTGGATTATGTTATATTACATTATGTTGTGTTGCATTATATTGTGTTAGATATACATGAGCGACGCTGTTTTAATTATATCATGTTGGATTATGTTGTAAATGATAAACTTTTAATTATTTTATGATATTCTATTATTATGTTGAATTATTTAAAATATTAGATTTATTTAAAATTTGGATTATGTTGGCTTGGGCTGGGGCGGATAAGATGGACAGGGGCAGGGGCAGGGGCAAGGTGGACAGGGACAGGGGCAGGGGCAAGGGCAAGGGCAAGGGAAAGGGTGGGGGCGGGGATTACAAATTTACCGGCGGACAGGGATGGGGATAAAAAATATACCCGTTAATGGGGGTGGACCGGGGATGAACATAGTTATTTTAAGTGGGTACGAAAATAGAGACTACACCCCCCACTCTCGCGTCCACTACCATCTCTACTCATGAGTCATTTCTTGACTCACATCTCCTTTTCTATGGAGTAGGCATGACATATCGATGCATATCGGGGAAAAAAAACAAACAGTTGACGCCATATGTAACTCCCATATATCGTACTAGAGCTTATTCAACTTACTTTACCAAGAACATAATCACATGACAATTTGTGGTTATTTTGAATCCATAGAACGATTAAATCTAATGGCAAATTGGTTTGTTTTCTGTAAGCCATTTCCCAACTAGGATAGTAGAATCATATGGTTTGATCACCATCTAGATGTGAATGTGACCAAAGAAAAGACCTCTAAATTTGACGATCTTTATTGAAAAGCTTCTAATTAGGTCAATAGTTGGCTGAGTAGGTAATAGACTAAATAAGCACAGTAACTATTTAAAGGCTAAGACGCTCTATTTGGGAGTCTTACGTTTTTCAACTCCTTCCAATTGGATTCTTGACTTAGGCGCACAACGTGCCATTGGTAATGATTTTATTACAGTGCCACAAATTCGCAAGCTAATTCTAAGTAATCGTTGTTGTTCATTGAATTTTGGAGGAATTATTTCATTAGAATTGGGGAATTGCTATTTGGGACTGGTCTACTTTTGTAGATATGTTTGGCAAAAAGTCAACTCAAAAAATTTGTTTGGATTTAATTTCATTTTGATTTTTATTGTCTAAATATCTCCAACAGGTACATCTAATTAAAACATTTAAAAATCAAAAACTTCTAAATTTTAAAATTTTCTCTCTCCCATATCTATCTACTAGTGATACTCTGTGACTAAAGTCATTGTTCGCTGAATTATTATACTGTACATGCATTGGAATGTGTGTTGGAGTTTGTGTGTTGGGTTTTTAAAATTTGGGGGGAAAGTGTGTTAGATGTGAAATTTGGGAGAAAAATATACCTCCATAAGTTTAAACACATATCTGTTTTATTATATAGATATACACATATATACTAGGATTATTTCTCTCATATATATATAACAAAAAATAGTAACATTCAATATTAAGATTTCAAAATAAAAAAATAGTAACATGTAATATTAATATTTTAGAAAATAAAACAAAAAAATAGTATCATTCAAAACAAAAAATAATAATATTTTTTTGTCATTAAAAAGAATAAAAAAAATGAATAACATTCAAAACATAAAATAATAACATGTAAATTAAAAATAGTAACATTTAAAACAAAAAAAAATAATATCTAAAATAAAAAACAGTAAAATTTAAACCCAGAACCGTAACATGCAACATAATAGTAATATGAAACACCAGCATTCCAGCCAACCCACCATCACCATCAATTCCGGCAGCCTAGTCATCAAAACCGTAACATCTTTGCTTTGAAAATTCTCCTCCAGTAGCTAAGATTTCTAAAATAGAATAAGATATTATGAGGCATAGTATGATTGCGTTACCTCGACTAGTCTATTTTCCTTTTTTTTTTTAAGGAAAAACGAAGAAGTAACAACTTACTTCGTTTGGTGCTAAGAAGGTGCAAAATTCCGAGTGGTAGAGTTTGAGCCTTTGAGGCATCGTTGCTTGGCTTGGTATGGAATTGGATCCACTGGCGTAGTCTGATAACCTCTTGGGTTTACAATAGGCCATCTACGGCTGTAGATCAACCTTCTTCAAAGTGGTTCATATATCCAAGCATGCCATTGTTTCTGGTCTTTGTAATCCCCTACAACTTTTTAAATTTTAGAGCCTGATGATCTCATGCGGATTAGCTTGATAATAGGTGAGTAGTAAATAGATGATAATAACTACTCTTGAATTTGAATTTTAAATTTTATGAAAAATATTTTATTAGAAAGTCTCCATTCAACCAAGGTGACTTATGTGTAACTGATTTTCTTAGTTTAAAAATTTCTTTTCAACGTGACATATATGTTGGAAAAATAATAATTAACATGAATTTTCATATTTTAGGAGTTATTTTTATGCATTTATTTTTTTGTATTAGTGGGTCATAAATTTGGATTAGTCGGGGAACAAAGTGATTGTGGTATTTTAATTCTCCAAATAATAGAGGAGTAAAGTCTATATTATTTTTATGATTGTATTATGTAGTGAGATTATTTTTTATGTCATGAGAGTCTATATATATCCTATGTAATACATCAACTTAGATATGAGTGAATAAAAAGAGTTCTTCCTATCTTCAATTGTCTCTTTCATTATATTTTTTAATGAGTGTGTGATAGTTCTTTAGATTTCAACAAAGTGGTATTCGAGCTAGGCTTGAGTGTTGAAAAACAGAGAGTGAGAGAAAGATGGCAAATGAAATGCTTCCATTTCAAATGCCTCGATTCACCAAAGATAACAATGAGAATTGGTGTATCTGTATGAAGACAATTCTTGGATCTCAAGACTTATGGGAGATTGTAACAATTGGTTACACAGCACCGCAAGATGAAGCTTCCTTAAGTTAAGCCCAAAAGAAAATCTTGCAAGCTACAAGAAGTAGGATCAAAAGGCTCTTTCACTCATCCATCAATGCTTAGATGATGCTATGTTATAGAAGGTTGCTAGTGCAACCACATCCAAGCAAACATGAGATGTTCTTAAAACTGCTCATAGTAGAGTGGAAAAAGTTAAGAAAGTTTGCCTCCAAACTTTACGAGATGAATTTGAGGTTTTACGTATGACAGAATCCGAATTAATTTCAGATTATTTCACAAGAATCTTGGTGGTTGTGAATAATTTGAGAACTTATGGTGATGATCACTATAATGATACTCGGGTTATAAAAAAATATCCTTCGTTCATTGGACCCCAAGTTTGACTACATTGCCGTAGCCATTGAAGAGTCTAAAGATTTAGACACAATGAAGATTGACGAACTCATGTGATCATTGTTAGCCCATGAAGAATGGCTAGGCAAGAAGAAGCAAGAGCCGTTGGAAGTGCTACAAGCAGAGGTCGTTGTTGAGGTAGAGGAGAAAACTTTGGCCAAATTGCATCCAACAAAGAAGAAAGAGGCTTAGAATAACATCGTGGAAGAGGAAGTGAAAGAGGCAACAATTCAAAGTCATATGGAGGAAGGTATGACAAAACTCATATTCAATGTTATAATTGTCATCGATATGGTCATTTTGCTTCCGAGTGTAGAAATAATTTTGTGGAAGAAAGAGCACACTTTGTTGAAGACGAAGTTGAAGAGGTGGAGTTGACCTTGTTGTTGGCATACAAAAAAGTGCAAAAGGGAGACAAGAACGTGTGGTACCTTGACTCCGGTGCTAGTAATCATATGTGTGCAAATAAAAAGATGTTTGAGGAGCTTGATTAATCGGTGAGTGAAAAAGTCATTTTTGGAGATTCTTATCAAATTTCGGTAATGGGAAGAGGTAATACTTTGATTCATTTGAAGGATGGAAGACGCCAAGTTATTTCTAATATTTTCTATGTGACAAACATGAAAAATAATATTTTGAGCTTGAGACAACTCTTAGAGAAAGGTTATGATATTTGCATGAAAAATCATAATCTTTCAATAAGAGATGGAAACGAGAATTTGGTTGCTAAAGTGCGAATGACAAGAAATATAATGTTTTTGTTAAATATTCAAAGTGATGTGGCAAAATGCTTGAAAGCATGTGTT